CGGCGGCGCGTGGTTGAGGCAGCGGCGGCGAAACTTCCGGCGGTAAGTCGCTATGTAGAGTTGAGCACGATGGTAGGCTTGTATCACTACCAAAAGCACTCAAGTGAGTTGCGACCACTATTCACGCCGGAAATTATGGCCTGAACTTCTGTCCGGATTCGGAGCGGCAGTTTATAACGCTAACTAGCTAACTATATTTGCCGTATAGGCTCTGATACCATGTGAACAAGTATGTTGTTGTATTTCATATACTTGATATTCAAGTGCTATACAAGAGGCTATATTTATAGCTATATTTAGAGTACTAGGTCTTCCTATACAAGATACTAGGGTTTCCTATACAAGATATACAAATGGGCTAAGCCCAATACTACTAGGGTTTTCACAGTATCAGAGCACTCTTTCCTGGCATCCTAATCGATCGATCAACAGCATCAACGATCTGGAGAGATGGAAGAAGATTGGACACCAGATATGGAGGCTCGCTTGGATAAGACGGCTATGGCAAACATCGCTGCTTCCATGACCGCACAGATGCAAAAGTGCATCGCGGATTCTATGGCAGCGATTTCAGCATCTACCGCCGTGAAGGAACAAAGGGGAAGATCACGATCATCGCATCGACCGGCTTCTAACAGTTCGCAGATGCGAACGAAGTCTTCCAAGGCATCGCGAAATGCGCAGGGTCAGTCGCGAACTCCCTCCCTCAGTTCGCAGTCGCAGAGATCGACGCTCACATATCATTCCAGTTTACAATCGCGAACTTCATCTTCCCGTTCGCAGACTTCATCTCTAGCTTCGCACAGTTCGCCGTCACCAACAACGTCATCTTCCAGCTCATTGCGAACTGATTCTACTCACAGATCTTCATCTCCCTTGCAATCAGCTTCACAACGAGCCAACTCTCAACATCAACGAACAAAGGAATCTGAGCGTCTAGCTGCGTCGGAAGGTAAATACAATCACTCTCGCTCTAGTATGGGTCAGGATAGCAGTAGAAGAGATATTGGCGCAGGAAGTAAGGTTGAATTACCCTGGTTTAATGGAGATAAAGTAGACAAATGGATAGTTAAGATGGAAGAATACTTCCGACTCAAATCTATTGCGGAGGGAAGGAAAGTTGAAATAGCAGAAGAAGCTATGGAGGAAGAGGCGTTTGACTGGTTTGAATGGTGGCAAATTCAGACGAGGGAATATAGTTGGGAGGCTCTGAAGGAATCCATAACTAGGCATTTCCAACCTACACGCAGTCGGAAGACAGAGAATCAATATATGCTATTGCCTAGAATTTCTCTCAGTTCACAGGTTTCTTCTCAATCTCAAGCGCCAGCAGATTCTCACACTTCTCAAGCGTCACCGCTCCGTTTGGAGTCTGTTAACCTGCTGCAACCTTCCTGTGGTGATAGAAGTGTTTCGCGAGCCAGAGCAAATGCAAAGAAGATCAACGAGGGCAACGATGAAGACCAGGAGAAATCGCCAGCTGATTCTCTTACTTGGCAAGTTTCACAGCTCAGTTTGGAATTCATTAATCAGCAACGACCTAATTCTGAAGATAAATTCATTGAGGATGAGGAAAGACCAGAGGAGAAATCTTCTGGGGTGACTCAGTCCTGGACAGTCATGGAATATAAATCTTCTGATCACAAGATTGCTGGCCCAAATAATTCTGAATTGGAGAACCAAGTGGTTCCTGAAATCTATAAAGGTGCTGAGCTGATAAATGCAGTCCCTGAAGGAATTGCTATGCCTTGGCAGCCCAACTTAATATCTACTACAGCATCTAAGAAGGCCAGGAAAGAAGAGACGAAGGTGAACAAGGAGGAAACTGAGAAAATAGAAGAGGGTAATGATGGAAAGAAGCTTCAGGGAATGATCCGTGCAGATACTGATGCTACTAAGGATTGTGGATTAGATCCGAGCTCTGAATCTAACTCCAGTTATCAGGTGGCACCAAAGAGGAAGTTAGTCGGGCATCTTACTATTTTGAAGAAATCCTGTGGCTCAGGACTAACAAGGGAACCTGCACACATGTTACAAGCTGAAGAAGGAGCTCATGGACAAGAACAAAAGAATGCGGTCAACTTCTATATCCCTTGTGCAAAGGATGCCTCAGGTGAAGTCCATTGGCAGAATTTACATAAGAGTTTGCATAGGGTTTCATCGGCAGTAAATGGGAGGTATGAGGCATTCCAGAAAATAGAGGATGCTCCGAGGGCTACCAAAGTTGACAATTCTTTTCTGGAGAAACTAGGTATAACTGAAGGTTCTCTCTCTGAAGAAATTTGGGCTACCAAATTTGTATAGTTTGTTAGTTCTCCATTTTATATGTATTTTGATTATTGTTTAAATTTGGTCTGGTAAGATCTATTCTGGTTTGATGATTTGGGTTTTAAATTTGGTATGAGTAAATTAGACTTAATGAAGAAAATGCTCAAAAAATTTCATACAAATATTCCACTGGGAACCACTCTAATTGGTGATGGCCGGACTGAGACTCCTATATAAAGGGTGAATTGCACTTTTTAAGTTAGTTTCAGGGTCTATTTGACTATTTAGCCTAAATCTAAATAAAAATAAAAACAACTTGTAGAAACAATTAGTCTTTTAATATGGACAACAAATTAGATCCATTGTCTAATTACAAAATACATCAAAAACTATGAAATCTTATTAAACGGCCAAAAAACCATTACAAAATCTCAACCACAAATTAAAGCATACTCATTAATGAGATTATTACGGATGGTTCTAGTGACATAGCTGTTTTTCTAGGAGGTTAGGAGCATTAATGATGATGATGACGATGGTGGTGGGGTAGGTACCACCTTGTCCGATCCCCAAATCAAACCTGAATAAGATTTCCATAGATGCCAATCTATGGTTCCGGGTAAATTATGTTCGAACAGATCTAAAACCTTGTTACTCCCTGCTTTGAGCCACCAAGATATAAGGGATTGTCTCATAGTATTGTCAAAGCCAGTATTAGGGATCCCACAAATATTTATGAAATACACCCATACTCGTTGAGCCACCTTACATTGAAAAAGAAAATGGTTCATAGAATCGGCATGAGCTCTACACATGGGGCAGATAGAAGGATTTAACACCATTTGAAACCTTTTTAGATTATCTATAGTAGGAAGAATATTATTAAGAATTTTTCACTATAAAGCTTTATTATACTTGTTTGGGGTGCCAACAATGCTTAAATGAGAAGGTGGAAAACTTTTGTGCTCTTACCAGTTGGAAGGCAGATTGAAAAGAAAACATACCATCCTCCTCAGCAGCCCATATCAATTTACCATGCTGATCAACTACACAATAAGTTAAAGCTTCAGAAGTAATAGAGCAGATTCTCCTCCAGATAGATGAATCAAAAACCTTAGGCAACATGTTATCACCCCTAGGATATTTAACTTTGAAAAAATCAGACAAAAAAACCTCTTTTCTTCCATTTCCATCAAAGCTTCAAAGTAAAAGCTTTTTCCACCTGCCCTAACTAATATCCAGACCTCCCTCTTTTGTAGGAAGGCACAAATCTGACCACTTAATCCAATGTTGTTTAAGTTTGTTGTTTGAGGATCCCCAATAAAATGTTGACATTTACTTTTGATGCGATTTTTTGAGCATGTTCTTCATCAAGTCTAGTTTATGCATACCAAATTTTAGTTCAAAATTCAATCGGGAAGACAACTAAATAAATTCTTGAAATATATTGTGTTTTATATATGTACAGGATGTGCAGTATGTTTCAATAAATTAGTTAATTGTCTCCCGAGGAAGCGGTCCAGTCCAGCTGGTCGCCGACTCACTCTCCCTTATGGGATGTCTCGGGTTCGAAGCTCAATGGAATGAGTTTCAACTTAACCCTGATTACTCCAGAACCCCTCTCCCAGACCACCTAGAGTACAAAAAAAAATCAACTGCCTCCTAATTGAATTTTGATCTGAAATTTGATATGCATAAACTAGACTTAATGATGAACATGATCAACACATATCATCAAAAAATTCCACCGGAAACCACCCTAAATAATGAATTCCACACGGCGATTCCGGTCAAGAGTTCCTGACTTGAACCTGACTTGTTTACGGAAATGCCACCACATTTTTTTTTATTTGACATGTCTTGACCAAAGTCTAAAAAGTGCAACAAATCACCTTTAAAGATCATCACATTGGGGAAAAAGTGAGCACTTTGCTGTTTTCACGTTAAAAGTGGTTTTTATTTTATCCAAAACCTATATATGTATGTATAAGGAAAATCAGAAATTGCCCTAAATAGGAGTAAAAACGTTTTGAAATTTCAAAATAGGAGCATCATGATTTTTATTCCCTAAATAGGAGTAATCTGCCAAGTTTAGAAACAAATGCCATGTTTAAAGCCTTATAATTCCAAACTTGGCAGAAATTTACTCCTATTTAGGGAATAAAAAAATGATACTCCTATTTTGGAATTTCAAAATGTTTTTACTCCTATTTAGGGAATTCTCTCAAGGAAAATCATGCATTTAGTCTCTGAAATAGTCATCATATTGAAATGTCAACCCTGTATTTCTGAGATTGTAAATGTCACTCCCTCAATTTTCTAAATTGCTATAAATGTGGTCCTTTGAGGGGTGAAATGTATAAAGAGCTTTACAGAAAGTATAAGAGATCTATTTCAGAAAGTTTTACAGAAAGTTGTTTTTGAGATCTCTTTCAGAAAGTTTTACAGAAAGACGTTTTTGAGATCTCTTTTAGAAAGTTTTACAGAGATGTTTTGAGAAGAAATTTTGAGATCTCTCCAACAGTTTTGAGAAATTATTTTAGAAAAATATTTTCCTTTTGAGATCTCACTCAGAATGTATTTGAGAAGTTATGTGTTAGTTATTTGTTCAGTGCATGCTTATAGCCTAATTTATCTATTGATAAATTGGCCTAGACTTCTAGATATTTTTGTGGAGCCATAGTGACTTACTAAGCGTAAAGCTTATCAGTTTTCTTTCTTCGCGTGTACAGATACTAAGGGTAAGGCCAAGGCCTAGGAAGATGACGAGGGAGTGGAACGCGTGCCAAGATGAGTTAACGGGAACGACCTTGGTGGCTTCTAGCTAGATAATATTTGGTTTCAGTATTTCAGTGTTATAATAAAGTGACTTATATTACTTTATTTTTTTTTTTATTTGAGGATTTGAAGTTTTAGCAAATTCCTGGATCCAGGTGGTTATCACATGTGCTGGTGATAACTATATTTTATTGAGTTTTTATTAAGAGTTATACTTTAATTATATTTGAGATTTTATCAGGGTTATTTTCTTAAATAGACGGCCGTTAATTGCAGTTATTTTTAAAAGTAGTAAGTTAGTGTAACGATTCCTTTAACCCTGAGAGGGGCGTTACAAGTATAGATCTTAGGTAAATCCAAAGAGGGTTTTCTAGTCCGTTCATCACAAAAGACTTCTAGATCCCAATACACCCAATGCCAGATAGCTGCCAAAAAACATAACCCAGAAAACAAAATATGTGCGCCAGCTACACCTTCGTAACTCCAAAGACAACATTTCACTCCTCAAAGGACCACATTTGAGAGAATTTGAACAATTGGGGGTTACATTTAAAAACTAGGGAACACGGATCTGACATTTTAATATGATGACTATTTCAGAGACAAAGTGCGATTTTGCTTATTTATAAAACATATAAACTAGTTGTGGCGGATCCGGTGCGAAAAATAGGAGCCCGAGACCAAATACCTCTACCCCCCCCCCCCCCCCCCCCCCAAGGACCTTAATGCCCGGTCCCTGTTCGAAGACCGTGTCCACCCCCTAATCGTGACACTTGAGCAACTATGGCATGAAAATAATGCCCTGATAGGACCAAAGAAGCACGTAAACATAAAAGAGAAAAAAAGGAGAGACGAATAAAACATTTATCCCACATTGCAAGGTTGCATGCAAACTAAAAACAACATGCCACTTGTAGGAATTTGATGTGGATTTAAAATTTATGTGATCAATTAAATATTTGGATGCTCGGGTGTCATTACCAAATTTGATTCAATAGGAGGGTCTATTTGATAATTTTCCCAAAGAAAATCAAGTATATGGCAAAAATATCAATTGTATACTCTAGACATCAATTTGAGCGCCGATGATATAAAGGTGAAACTTCAAAGAATAGACCAAGATCAGACGAATGTGATGCCACAAGCATATATTGTATAATGATAACCGCCCTAAATTAAACCACTGGTATAGTCGATACATCCAATTGTACTCATCATGCTGGCTTAATGATTCAACAAGAGAGCATGTATGCATGCATACACCACACATTCAAGTGAAAACTATGCCCAGTTTGGCTGACAGGCAGAGAGTGGTTGTACAGAAAACAATTTTTTGCAAATGGAAAGCATTTTTTTAGAACACGTAAATTGAGTCTCTCACTCACTAGTCACACTATCTGGTCTTTGCCAGGGAGATGGGGGACCGCCACAGGTAGCTCCAAATAGTCGAGCTCGTCTGTGATACCCACCTGAAACAAAATGTATACCAAGTCATTTGTCATTGGAAAATATTTGTAGTCAAAGACCAACACCACAGACACTCCATATTTTTTAACATATGTTCTAATCCTGGATTTCAAAAGTCTTACTATGATGGGGATTTCAAGTCTTACTATGATGGACTTGAGTCCAGAAAAGTATTACCTCATTGTAAAGGTGATCAAGTTGCTCTTTGGCCTGAGGAAATTTGTTGGAACACCATTCTCTCAGAGTGAAGATGCTATCTGCACTACCCAAAAGCATTTGTTCAATCAAAGCAAGCTTCGTACAAGTCCACTCCCTCTGAACTATTACAGCATGTTTGTACCAGTAAAAGTACTTCCCTAGGAAGTTGGTGATTCTGGTGTCTGGTAAATGACCTTGACTTAAAAAGGTTCAATCAATTCCTTGTATATAATGGAAACATATTCAACCATAGGACGACTAGAATCCCCCACAGAAAGTTACCTTTTCTTGGGAATTAATTTCTCAGGAATTTAAACTTCAAGGGTAATGTTTGGATCTCAGAGAATGCCAAGGGGAAGAAATGTTAATTTGTTATCTTATATTTGGTTCTTTACCTTGGAAAATGAAACACAAAACAGAACATGATTACTTTCTTGCTTAATTTTACATACATTTATACTCCCTCCGTCGTGCTAAAATTGTCCGTTTTTGCCTTTTGATCCGTCCCACTAAGATTGTCTTATACCAAAGTTGGTAATGTTAGTGTGGTTCTAAATTGTTCTTACTTTATTCTCGCTTTATCAATTCAATACCAACCACATAAACTCACTTTTCTTAGTAACCATGCAACCTCTTCTTGTACCAATGTTAGGGGATGGAGGTAGTATTTCTTAACCTTCAAATAATGGACATGCTTAAGAAAAATAAGAACCAGCAAATATCCAAAAATATATTTATTGAGCTTCAACCCTATCTGTATCCCCCCCGCAATTTCCTTCTTTCAAATTTTCCTTAAAGGTTTTTCCTTCCTGTTTTTTTCCCTAGCATTTTCCCAGTTCCAAAAGGGATCCTAAATGGGGAAGTTTTACACAGCCTCTAAAAGAAATAAAGGTAATAACTCAGCGACGAAAAGTGAAACCTGTCCATCTGTTGGCTGCAGCATGAGCGACTTGAACTGCACTCTCTGTCAAATGAAAGCAATGTCTTAGAATGATCTGATATCTTTTTGTGCAGAAAAAGCGGGCACTTCTTTGTATATGTAACACTTCAGATGAATTCTTAGAAGGATTAGATGATTGATTCTTAACTCATTTTTTCAATAGTAGCAGGATCGTTGTCTGCATACTGTGCCAACTCTTCCTGAAAAAATTAATAATCCATGCATGAACTACTTATTGTAGAATAGTTCCCTTTTCAAATATTGCCTGAAGAAACGTGCTTTTTACTATCCAAAATGTGATCATAGAGTATCAACCTTCAACTCCATGTGTTTCTGTTCAGTAGCTTTTAACTCCTCTAGAGCCTCTTCTCGCTCATCCTGATACCAACCAAAGAAACGAAGGGCCAATATGATGGTCTTAAATGGCAACTGGGAAGAGTATTTTTGGATCTCGGAAAATACTAGGGAAAGGAGGAGAAATGCAAATGAAGTTATTTTGTCTTTCTGCAAAATATCAGTTTAGTCATTCTAAATATTTTTTAATTCAACGACTTAGTCATTATATGGGTAAACTAATTACATAAATAACTAAAATGAGTTTGAAAATAACTTCCATATAAAATATAAAAATTGTGCGCCAGAAGTTAAGAACAAATGTTTTAATTTCCTCAAATTTTTCTTTCCTTTCAAATTTCCCCTATATGTTCCTCCCTGTTTTTCCCATACCATTTTCCAAGTTCCAAATAGGCCCTTGATAGGTATAACAATGGAGGTAGTTCGTATAACAGAAAATAGAGAGAGAAAATACAAGACAGTTTCCAAAGTCCCAAGCCCAGATGATAATTCCAGCCTCCTCTCTATTCTCCCCTCACCATCTATTTATACTAACTCTTCTATTATTATTATTATTATTGTTATCAGTGCTAATCTGCCCGAGTCCTATCATATCTCCCCCCTTGAACAACAACCACCTTGTCCTCAAGGTGGGTGATAGGAAACAACCTTAGCCTTCAACTTTATCTTCATCTTGGCGCCTCTCCCTTCCTAGTACATCGCTGCATTTTGTGCCTTTAGCTTTGGTACTGAAACCTTCATCCTCAAGTCTTTCTCAGCAGGAAAGAGCAGAAGTAAAGGCATGGAGGCACAATGCTCCCTGGTGTTGTAAAAATCTCCCCGTATCTGCATCTCCTGTTGTATCCCTTGCTTTTGTTCCCACATCTTTTCCAAAGAATTGACCTCAATTTAATCAAGACCTGGAATCAGTTCAAAACCATCTGATTTGAAATCTCCGTTATAATAGCAGATCAACATCTTCCCAGGGATCCAATCATACTTGAAACTTTCCAGCAAATATTTATCTCTAAGACTCTCAGCAACGAGCTTGATCCATTCAAAATCTATGGAGGATAAGGTACAGCATGCTACATCATTAAGAGCAACAGCAACTTGCTTACAAAGATCTTCATCCAAATTCAGCAGTCTCTTACATAAGGCAGACATAATCTGAGGAATTTCAGCTCTAAATGGATCATAGAGCAAACCAGTTTTAACCTTTTCAAGAACACACATACAAACTTCACCTGTTTGATCAATCAACCTCTTCAAAAATTCCCTAGCTAATGGTTGAAAAACCTCATTGATTACAAATTTGAGCATAGCCAAGAGGTCCCAAAACAAGCTACCCACTTCTAATCATGTATCCCATAAATCAGTCTCCTGTTTGGATTGCGTCATAAGAAAAATATAGGTGTAAACTACTCGTTGAACAGCTCCATAGAGAGTATGCAGTCCATCCAGCCCTTTTCCATCACTTTTGACACCAGTAGCAATTTCTGGCTTTAACAATAAATCCATGAGATGCTCTCTGTTGGAAACATCAATTACAACAGCTTAATTTGTAAAGTCCAGGTCCACACAGATTGTATTCAACTGGTATTCAAGAGTAAACTTATCAGCCCATCTCAGTCTGGAATTAGAGTAGTCCCAAATTGCAGAAAGTATCATACTGCCTCCCTTAACTGCCAATCTGGGTTTGACATCTGAGTGGGTGAAGACTGGTCCTTCAATTGCACTGATCTGTGGATCATTCTTCCTCAATTGCTTTGCTAAGGTACCCCGACATAACACAACACCTTCACCCCTAATTTCTTGGTCCTGACTGTCAACATTTCCAACATATTTCTCCATCCCACTTCTATTAGTAAGTGTGTGAATACTGTCACTTAATTCCCAATCCTTCTCTCTTTTCCTGAGTATCTTAACCCATAGATCAGCAATTGTCATAGGAAACCTATAATCCAAATCTGCACCTCCCCATTGAACAGGTTTACCAACTACTGCCTTTCCGTTACCATTTTGATAGAACTACACAATATTTTAACAGTAATTCTAACAAGAATCTGCTCAAATAAGAGGAAAGAATGCAATAACATCAAGCAACATTATACTGAAAAGTAAATGTTCATGTACAGAGTCCCAAAGTAGAGATAAAACTCTAACTTCCCAGCCAAGACAATTCGTCTCTAAAAACAGCCTGCCCCCAATGCTCCCTGTTTATTCTATTTATAGTTAGACTTTATAACCGTAAGTGGTTATAAGCAGCTCAACAAAATAACAGCTAACTACTTTCTTCTTCTAGAATAAACTTGGCTATAGTATTTGTCTTGTTTATTAAACTGGCCCGGGTCTCTATCAATACTCCCCTGCTGAAGATCAAGCTTGTCCTCAAGCTGGAAGTAGGGAAACTGCTTCTTCATCATCTGCACTTCTTCCCAAGATCTCTCAAACTCTGGCAAGTCCTTCCACTGTATTAGTACTTCAACAATGCCATTCTTCTTTCTGACATCCACCACTCTTTCTGGTATGACCTGTAACTCCCAGCTTTCATTCAGGCACAATGGTAGGGGTTGACAGGGAGTGTTGGGAGATAGTGCCTTTTTTAGAAGAGAAATATGGAACACCGGATGTATCAAACTGTGGTCTGGTAACTTTAATTTGAAGACAACATCACTCAACTTGTCAATGATTTCAAAGGGTCCATAAAACCTGGGGCTGAGTTTCTGATTCACTCTCCTGGCTATACTCTTCAACTTGTAAGGCTGGATTTTCAGAAAAACTAGATCCCCCTTCTCCAATTTTACTTCCCTTCTATGTTTATTGGCTTGTTGTTTCATTCTGTTTTGAGCCACTGCTAAATTGTCTTTTAATTCAGCCAGCATTCCATTTCTTTCAGCAGTTAGCCTTGCCACTTCCTCTACTGCAGTAAGAGTAACATCACCTCTGATAATGGCTGGTGGTTCTTGCCCATACAGAGCCTGATAGGGAGTTTGTTTCAAGGATATGTGATAATTGGTATTATACCAATATTCAGCCCATGGAAGCCATTTAACCCAATCCCTAGGCTTCTTTCCTGTGAGACATCTTAGGTATGTCTCTAGACACCTATTCACCACCTCAGTTTGACCATCAGACTGAGGGTGATAAGCAGTACTAAATTTCAGTTGAGTACCAGCCAACTTGAATAACTCTGACCAGAATAAACTCAAAAATATGCTGTCCCTGTCACTCACTATGGACCTAGGAAATCCATGGAGTTTGACCACCTCTTTGATGAAAACTTCAGCTACACTCTTAGCATTGTATGGATGGGTTAGTGCTATAAAGTGTGCAAATTTGGTGAGCCTGTCTACCACAACCAATACAGTATCCCTCCCTTGGCTTTTGGGCAACCCACCAATAAAATCCATACTTATTTCAGTCCAAACCTGCTCTGGTATGGGTAGAGGTTGTAATAACCCTGCAAGTTTCAGTGCCTGATACTTGTTCCTCTGACAAGTATCACAAACTTGCACATATTGTTGTATATCTTTCCTCATTCCTTTCCAATAAAAAAGTGATGAAATCCTTTTCATAGTTCTGAAGTTCCCCGAATGCCCTCCTGTCGCTGAATCATGATATTCCTGCAAGATTTTTTTGATTCTGGGAGAATCCTTAGGTATCATCAATCTGCCTTTATAGTATAGCAACCCTTTCTTCAGTTTAAACTCAGATATCCTATCAAGCTCACTGAATATCTTCTGCATGATCTCATAACACTCAGGATCTGCCATAATCTCATCTTCTAAACCCCCCCATTCCAGACATTGTACTATAGATAATGCTGCCAGACTATTTTTTCTTGACAGGGCATCAGCAGCTTTATTCTCACATCCTGGTTTATATTTGATGGAAAAACTGTAGCCCATGAGTTTGGTTACCCATCTTTGTTGATCATCTCCCATGATTTTCTGCTCAGTTAAATACTTTAGACTTCTCTGGTCAGTGTGAACTTCAAAATGTCTTCCAAGTAAATAGTGATAGGGCCCTGGGCTGTAGAGAATAATGATAATAATAGTGATAGATTGATATTGAATAAGTTTGGTATTGTATAAATAAGTATTCTGGGCCATGTCATATAATATGGGCTGGCCCGTTAGAATAGAGTACTATAAGAGATGGAAGGAAGGGAGGAAAGGGGGAGGCTGATTTTAGAATTTGGGAACTCGGTTCTGTGGAGAGTAGAGGCCTCTCGAAGTGCCCTGGCTGTATCATCGTCTTCTTTCTGCGATTCAGCACAATATAATCCATAGTTTACTGTTACGAAATCTGAGTACCTATCATTGGTATCAGAGCATTACGTTTCTGGTAATCGCAACCGTAATCGGAAAAGTGACGCAATCCAGAAAAAAAAAAAAAAAAAAAAAAATTGTTCGAAGCTGTGAATGGTTCAGACTAGGGCCAAAATGGAACAGAGGATTGAAGCGGTTGAACGCAGTCAGGTAGCGATGAAAGAAAAGTTGCTGCGATTGGAAGCTAAGATGGAAACGCTGATGGAACGATTGACTGGGAGGATGGACGCTATGAGCGAGCGAGGGAGATCGCGATTTCATTATCGTCATCAATCGCGAACTGTTCCTCTCAGTTCGCAAAAGTCAATATCGGCTTCCAGTTCTAAATCTTCCTCGCGAAGTGTTTATCCTCACTCATCTTCATCGCAAGTCTTTTCTTCCAGTTCGCAATCAGGAATAGCATCTTCCAGTTTGATGTCGCGAAACAGCAGATCGAGAGGAGAAGCTTCCCGTTCGCAGATGCGAACCACTTCTACCAACTCGCAGATGGCATCTCAAGCGGCATTTCACAACGCACTAGCTTTATCGCCAGCGGAGTTCTCCAGTTCGCAGATTGTGGCGCAGTCAAAAGTCACCAGTTCTCAGTTTCTTGCTTATTCTTACACAGCTTCTCAACAGGCACAAGTTTCTCCTGAATTGAAATCTGAGTTGAAGTTGGTTTCATCAACACCTTCAGAACAGAGCAATGTTGACATTCTTCCAACACCAACA